CCTTATAAGAAAGTATTTGACACTTTTACATGTCAACAGGCTTTACTACTGTTGTATTAATGTTTTGCCTATATTTTTCATAATTAGCTTTCTGAAATAAGATTCACTGCTACAAATATAGGTAGTTTTTTTCAAGATGTGCATTGTTAAAGAAACTGCTTTTAATACAAAAAAGTGTGAAACCTCTTTTGTCCTTAAAAATAGTTTTGTTTTTGTCACAACAAATTTTATCAAATTCTTTTTCAGTGAAGCATTATTTACACACTGAATTGTACCTGTTGTTAATATTTTTCCCGTTATTTCCCGAAAAAGAAATCTTGACGTGTGACCTAATTAATACAATATGGCATCTGATCCCATCTCTGATGTATGAGAGGTCTCTGTTTGCTCTGATCTTAATTGGTATTATTTGAAAGCACATGATCAAACCTCTAGTTTCTCCATATATACTCCTAAAAAAGATATCAAAACTGGATCCTGCTTTATTATAAACAAAATATTATCACATTGATGTTATCCATAGTCTTCTTTGTTATCCAGAGATGATTTTTTTAAATTTACAGTTTCATTTAATTATAAAACATTTCTAAACACACTTTGTTTTTCAAATGAACGTTTGACGGGGGGGGGTTAAACGTCAAAAATAAAGATTCATAAAAATATGTATATCAATCATAAAAGAAAAATTATGGAGCTACTGGCTGTGATTATTACTTGAACAATAAGTATTTTTTTGAAAATTAAAGCTCCGTAAAAAGCAAGAAAAGAGAAATTTTTTTCATTTCATTCCATATACAATAAATTTTAATCTTGATAAAGCGAATTTTTTTTATTCTAAATTTTATTTTAAAATTCTATATAACAATTGGCTTCATAACATTCCGAATAATGGTATTTTTTTAATTTGTTTTTATCATTTACGAAAAATATTGATTTTCTTCTTTAATTAAATAAAACAACAATTAAAAAAAACTTTTTACAATGTAAAATTGATTGTCATGATTTCCAATGATCTGAAAATGTGGAGATGTTTATTTCCCTTTTATTCACGGTTTTGGCTTTATACATTTACAAAGCATGATAAATCCAAATTGAATAAAAAATTTACACAATGTAACAAGAATTGAAAAGAATTGTTTACTATCCTGAAATTAGCTTTTTAATATCCTATTGCAGCAAATTATTTTACGCTGTTTTCTTTTTCCTCGAATCAAAAGAATCCGTACCTGTAAATTTTTTTAAAAATTTCAATGTCGATTTGATATAAATTGAAATAGATAAAGAGTTTAATGTTTGATATTTTGAAGTTAATGTGGACAATAAATTTTCATTTTAACTTTAGAAGCAACGACATAAAGAATGATAAATATAATATCAAGGGGTGTAATCTGTAGCAATTCTTATTCGATAATTTTCATTGAAACATTGACATGAAAGAAATAAATATTCCAAATCACAAGAATTGAACATACACTTTTTTAAATTACGTAATAAAATTATAGAAACAAAATTTAAACCAGGTTTTAAGTTCAATACATAACTTACTGAGGGTGTGGCCAGGTTTCATGTGATATGGAATGCATACTCATATATGGAATAAACACTACAATCCTTCAGTGTTTTTTTCCTGTTCATATAAAAACAGATTTTATATTTTTGTCGATTTGTTGCTTGTCAAATGAAGAAATACTAGTATATTTGCACTGTAAAACAACATTTCGTGAATCACGCTAGAGCAGCAAAAAAGGAAGGGGTGGGGGTGGTAGGGGTATTAAAAAATTGCTAAAAATCTACATTAAAATACCATTGTCTTGATAAAGGCACCTTTTAAATTTGTAACAGATATATTTTTATAAAAGCAATATGAAATTTTTTTTTTAAAATGTGTATTTGATAGTTTTGCTTCAGAGAAAAAGTAAAAGCGAGGGAGAGAGCTATTAACATTATTTAATTGTAAACATACGTTTTTTCAGGGTTAGGGTAAGGATATTATGTGAAACAAAATCTTGCTCTGCATTTTACAAAAAAATTCTGAGTTATGAAAAATAACAATTTTCAATACAAACAACAGAAGTTAAAACATTGTTTTATCATATTATAAAAAAGATCTAAATTTTTGTGTTAAAGTTTTATTTAATGCTTTACTACGAAGATTTGATTTACATTATCAGGTTGAGCAGTTACGTTCTCTGCAAACTTTTAATACAAAGAGATTATATATGTATTTTCACTGACCAGCCAAACTGATAATATATCATATACATATGCGAATATGTATGGGCATGTATGTGTATGTATAGATGTATGTGTGTATGTGTAATGCACTAATTTTCATCATTATCAATCACTTTTTAGTTTGCACATGCTTCTGATGTGCTTTTATATATTCATTTTAAGAATGTTTTGAAAACAGTATATTCTTATTCCCTTTTCACACGTGAGAGTTTAATTCTTGTAATGATTGTTTTTCCTTTGATTAAATTAGCTTCGCTAAACATATGTTCATTTGATGAGATAATCAATTATTATAGCAATCATTATCATTTAATACAAAATTCAAATATATTGCACTGCCTAACACATTTTTTTTTAAATTACCCCTTTGCATTAGCTCCGCTGTTCACGCAAAAAAAAATTATAAGCTAATTCTATCAATAAACCTTGCAACCTAGAGCAAGTGAAGCCTTCTTTGTCATCATACAATCCGACATGTTGGAGGCTTAAATATGTTATCTGTGTATATATTTTGTTCAAAAATCAAGGAAAAGTAAAGTGTAATCACTAAAAAAATACCAAATTTTATCAAATTCTTATGAAGCAATGAGGAAGTAATGTTGTTAATATTGATAAAATGACATCGTCATAATAACCTTACGGACGTTTTTTGTACAAATAAAATTTTAATTCAAAGCATAAGTTTAACTTCTGAATTGGCTGTCATGTGAACGCAATTTTAATTCGCCTTATTTTAATACCTCTTTAGTTCACTTCGCATTTTTTTACTGCGAATTAAACTTCCGTGTGAAAAATAGTTAAATCACAAGATTTTTTGACAAATTTCCAAAAATCTGCAACCGAACAGAAATTGAAAAAACTACGTGTACTTTATTTTTTAACGTTTTTTTTTATTTGACTAAATGCTTCGGGTAAAAATCGCATTGAAGATATATCATTTATAATAGCAATTATCATTTATAATACCAATTCTAAAGATATAATACTGTTTTAATACATTTCATTTAATTTGACCTCTGGGTTGATTCCAACTGTTAATAAAACAGATGAGCTTAATTTAATAGTTAAAAATATATATACGTGCAATCTATCAATTAACCTTGCAATCTACTCAATAATGAATAATATTATATATCATTATACAATTTGTAAAAGTGATAACATTTCTCATATGTTTGGTCGTAAAGAACTAGTTAATCTAAAGATGACATGAGATATTTAACAAAAATACAACAACTTTTAATACAATTTTAAGATACATGCGTGTTTTAGTTGAAATAAAATGGGGATTTTTTTTCCCATTTTCTTGTGGGTACCTCGCATACCTTAGAGATTGTTTTAATAGAAAATACGTTAGTTCAGTTAGAAGAATGTGATAGAAATAAATGATTTAATTCTGGTTATGACGAAGTATTTGATTGGATAAAAAGTACTTTATATCGTGAAAATTGGGTTGCTAACGTCACAATGGCTTACGACAAAAATGTTTTGATCCGCCTGTCGTTACATTTGAATTTTGTACATTTTGAAGTCATTTTTCAGGGCAACCATCTTTTTTCTCACATTAAATGAAAGATTGATTGATTTATATTGTTTTACGTCCCATTCGAAAATGTTTCACTCATATAGAGACGTCACCATATGACTGTGAAGAGATTTAAATTTTAACATTTACTCGGCACTCTGGGCCATTGAGCAGTGAAGAATCTTCATCGTGCGAACGCCGACCGTGACACGGGGCCTCAGTTTTAAAGATCTCATCTGAAGGTCCAGCAACTTTCACTTCAAAGTGCCTAGCGCATGGCAACGGAACAGTTGCTTCCCATTTTTTTATTGACTATGGTCAGTCGCAGCCGAGATTCGAAGTTATGACCTCCCGATCACGAAGCGAGCGCTCTACCGACTGAGCTATTGTGAAAGATATATTAAATGGAAGAGAATTTAATTAAAAGAAATGGAATTAAAAGTTAACTAATTTTGTACGTTATCAACTGCGTTGAAATAGCTTACGCTTTGTTATAAACCTCTTTATGGTTTATAAAGCGTAAACTGTCCCAAACAATTTTATACCGTATGAATTAGGTAGCTATTCAATTCATTCCTTAAATAACAAAAAAAAAAATTACCATTTCTTCTTTTTATTTAGAATTTCATGAGAATTTTGCTTTATATGATTGCAGAAATGTCAGCTAATAATGGGGTGCAATTGATAACCATAGAAATTTCGTCAGATTAACAAAAAACTTGATCTAAAAAATAGCTACAAAGATTTTGTAAATCAGAAATTCAAGCATCTTACTAATATGAACCTAAACCCCGTATTGATCAGCTGTAACAACTAAAATGTTTTTCAAGAGTTTCAAATAAAGATACACCTTCAAGAAGTATTGTCTTTTTTAATTCCTCAATGAAGCGCACGTATTCACAGTAAGTCAATTAAGTGATCAAAACCGCTCATAAATCCAAATCTTAAAAAAAAAAAACAACGATAACAAGTGACAATGAATTATCTTAACTACACACCACAGCAACCTTCGTAGCTGCTGTGAAACATATTGTATGAAGAAAAGCATCATGGGACACCATGGGAGCAACATATTGTAATAATTGGAGGGAATCTACAAAAAGATAACATCGTAATTAAATTTCATTGTATTTGATGGAGAGGTATGTGTAAGTTTAAAAGAACTTTGACATATACATCAATATATTGCAACGAAAAGGTAATATAAAGGAAAAAAGTGTTCCCTACGCATTATATCATAATTTTGCTTCACAGAGAAAGGTGCGCTTAAGCTGTTGAGGTGAGAACAATTATTCCTATTTGTTTGTTTAAATTATGTACGTAGTTAAATGCGAAAATATGAAATCAAGATATTACTTTACCTAAAACATATAGTGATAATTGTGTGGTACACAGGTAATATGATACAAAAAGAAAATTTTTCTTTAATGCTCAAAATATATTTTAAAACGTCTCAGATGTTTAATTCTTCACATGGAAGACGACATTTATTTACACATCATTTCGCAAGAGATATGGCTGATACAATGACCTTGTCAAGCAAATACAATCTGTCGTTATGACATTGTCAGGGCATCATTAACACATCGAATTGTTTAACCCTTTACCTGATCATGACAAAGGGCACACAGTGGTTGTAACTGGTCGACCGGGAATGCTCACAGATGGGAACACAAAGAATTCAACAAAATATATAGAAATTAAACATTATTCAACTCATAAGTCCTTTCAATAATATAAATGAGGTGAAGAGCAAATGCTTAGCTCCAAAACATTAAACCTGGGATAACAATCCCCAGTCGACAGATCACACCCACATTGGATTCTTTCTTATGATCGGGCAAAAGGTGAAATTCTTAAATAATTCAATATGCAAATAATGGCCAACAACATGTATATGATCGGTCAAACGGAAGAATCCGTAAATAATTCATCTGCAAATAATGGTCTAACATTCAGTATGAAATCATTCACCATTCAATTTGATTTTTTGTGTGAAATATGTACTATAAGTTGTTAAACCTTTCCCTAAACTTCCGTTTTGTCCCTCCCTAAGTTTGCAACAAATATTATGGAACTCTTGAGAAATTAACTTAGTTGAACATACACACATAACACTTTGAACAAAGAGGTTTTGTTTACATTTTGATTGGCTCACCCTAAGACAAAACTTTAGCTGGTTATTAGATCATTGCATGCCTTTTTTAATAATTATAATCGTCATGCAGGTAAAATCATAATCTGCCACCATCAGTATCAACTTACTTCGGCAATGATGTAAATGGATTATGCAAATGAATTATAAATATCTTAAGTAATCTTTAAAATAGTTATTAAAATGTTTCCTAAAGACAATTCAACGCTTATAAATAAAAAAAAAATTGCATTTTTAGGGTTTTTTTTTCAATTTCATTTTCTAACATGAATATTCTCTTTGTCAGATGAGGACTGGTGTCATGCTGTTTTCTGCTGTAATTCTGTCTCTTCTGGTCTTTACTTCTGTTGCCCAAGGCCAGACCTGTTTGAGTCACTGCGACTATAGCGACTGTTTAAGGGACTGTCAGGCTGACGGATACCTGAGTGCCATATGTAGATCATCAAGGAGTTGTCCTTCAAGTAGACCTGATGTCTGTCGCTGCCTATTCAAAAATTTCATTTAAAGGAAATCTACATTTCAAGGAACTACATGTTCGTATCTCTGATAAGAAATATGTAATAATGATGCAATAAAAAAGTGCGAATAAATGAGTCTCGATGGAGTTATTTAACAGATTCACTTTTGAGAAACATGTTTTGAGAACTCCTGGAATATTTAAAATCACAAAATTTCCCAAAACCCAATAAAATCAAAACTTTTCAACTCTTTATACAACCATTTCCCACGATAAATTAAAGTCAGGACTTTTTGATATCATTCATAGCTGCTTTTCCAGTAAAAAAGGAACCCAAAAATTTATTTACCTTGTCACTGATCATTTGCAAAATTATTTTGTTGAAATATTTTGTTTGTACACACAACTTATTTGACATTTAATAGACGCTTTAGTTTCTGATTTAGAATATTTGAATTTTTTTGAGACTAGGTCTTGAAACAATTTGTTGGAATTCCCACGGGTATCAATTGCGTCACGTTATTAGCAGACCTATTTTTGTATTCATTTGAAGCAAAATTTATTTAAAACCTTATACATGAGAAGAAGAAAAACACTCTCTGCAGCCTTCAACTTGACATTAAGATATATCGACGGCCTATAATCAAATAAAAGCTGTTATTTCCATTCATATGTCGACACGATATTTTCTAGTGAGCATGAAAAAAGGATACCACAGAGTCTGACATATCTGTTTCATGTTTGTATATCTTACCAGAAAAAGATGTTAATAGTAACCTAGTAACTAAGCTTTATGATAAACGTGATGACTTTACATTTTCAATCATCAATTTACCTTAGTTTGTAGCAATACACCCTTATCATATGGGGTTTATATCTATCAGTTCATTCGATATGCAAAAGCATGTTCTACGAATGAACAATTTCTAAAACGATGTAAGTTATTGACAAACAGGTTGATGAAACTCGAATATCAACAGTCTCGTTTAAAGTCACCATTTAGTACGTTATAATGTCGATACAATGACTTTGTCAGCAATAACTATCATTAAGTCAAATGTTGGCAATCGTTTTTCATACTACTTATAATACCATTATTAGCACACTGAATTGTCAGCAAATTTTTACATTATTTGCTGATCATTACAAGGAGCACACGACTGATGTGACTGTTCGGCAGGAGATGTTCACTCCTCCATGGTACCTGATCCCACCTCTGATGTTTTAGAGTTCTGTGTTTGCTCTGCTCCTGAACTGTATTGTTTGAATTGACTTTTGAGCTTAAATGCTGTTTGATATCTTCATATTTCATCTGATATTTTAAGTCATGCTTTGATTATCAATGATAACAACAGAATAATAACATTACGAAAAATATTAACTTTTTGTATATGCCTAAGAAAGGCTGAAAACTGCACACGGAAGAGTTCTTATTCTACTGAAGTCAGAACTTTTCATTGTGTAGTTATGTGCAACTAGAGTTATGTAAAGTTATGCATGATATATGTTAGGGATTTTGCATTAAATTAAACAACATAACATTGACACACTTGGATATACATGTACATGTATGTCTATCAATTTATTAGACCAACGCACGGTTTCTCATATTACCCGCAATAATTAGTTCCGAATGGAGTATAAAGAAATGATTTCTTTAATTTATACTTCATTGTAATAAAACATTATGTTAGGTGCACATAGTAGAAAGAAATTAAATTTTGACAAATTTATGATATACCTCTAGATTTAGATCATTTATACAATTTACGGGACGGGTAGCTCAGTCGGTAGAGCGCTCGCTTCGTAATCGAGAGGTCGTGAGTTCGAATCTCGGCCGCGACTGACCATAGTCAATAAAAAAATGGATATCACCTATTCATTCGACATGCGCTCGGCACTTAATTGATTTATTGATTGTATGTTGTTTTACGTCCTATTCGAGAATTTTTCACTCATGTAGAGACGTCACCATATACCAGTGAAGGGCTTCAAATTTTGATCTTTACTTGGCACTAAGAGCTATTGAGCAGAAAAGGTTTTTTATCATGCCAGCGCCTGCCGTGACAAGAAACCTAGGTTTTTATAAAGTGAAATTTGCGGTCCTTCGGATGAGACCTTAAAAACCGAAATCACGTGTCACGGTAGGCGTTGGTACGATAAAGATCCCTCACTGCTCAATGGCCCTTAGTGCCGAGTAAAGGTCAAAATTTGAAGCCCTTCAAGGTATATGATGACGTCTCTATATGAGTGAAAAATTCTCGAATGTGACGTAAAACAACATACAATCAATCAATCAGTTTGTGGAATTATAAGGTTTCCGAAAACATACTGAACAAGATACACATTTGGGAAGATTATGGTTAGATTTAAATTCAAACCCCATAGTCAAGAGATCAAAAATATTGGCACACAGAAAAGGTTTTGTTTCAAGAAATAAACTGTGAATTAAGAAAACGTTAGTCCTAACAGTTAAAAAAATATTGCAAAGGGAAATGTTTATCAAAAGTATGTCAAACGTCAAAGTCAAATGGTCATAATAAATAGTGCCCAAGAGATGGTCCTAGGCCTGTCACAAGAAATACACATGTGAAATATGAAAACCTTAGCACCAACCACTCAAAAGTAATGACCAAGATTAGAGTTTTTGTAAAAGTAGGACAAACTTAAAGTCGGGGACAAAGGGTCTTAATTATTGGTATTATTATCCACAAATAAAAAATACACCCCTGTAAAATATCACAGCCATAATACTAGTTCAAGTATTATAGGCAATGTTTAAGCTTTTTATAGAGGATAAACTCCAAGGTCAAAAGGTCAAAAATACTTATAAACGGGATAGATCTTTTCTCAAGAAAATCGCAAGTGAAGTAGAAAAGTCCTAGTACAAAATGTTAAACTTCATGACCAAGGTAAAAATTTTGCAGAAGTTTGTAAAATTCCAAAGTCAAGGTTAAAAGTTCAAATAGGATGGTACCCAAAAAAAGGTCTTACATATGTATCATAAGAAATCAGTTTGTAAATATATAAAATCCATAGCTTCATCCATTCAAAGGTTAATATTTTTGCCAACAAACAGACAGACAGATATCAAAATATGATTTAAATATTTTAACGTTGATTGTCCCTAAATACAATGGCTTGTTCTCCTGGAAAACTGCTAATTTTATTGCTTTTTAAGGGAGTAAATATAGAAATTTTCAATTTCATATTGTGACTTGTCATATTGTGTTTGAGGAATTATTTTCATTTTAAATATTTACTATTTAAAAAAAAATATTTTTAAGTCATATTTAAATGAATGAACAACAGAAGATTAGCTTAAAGATATGTTTAAAAAAACAGCTTTGAATTCATATATACGAGAATTATAATTAAAAGATCATCTTTATTGAAATGTTTTATTTACTTTCAAAAACGACTGATTCAATCCATGTAAATTAAATACTAAAATCGTAGGTTTAATATCAAAATGAGAAGCATATATATTGGAACATTTT